AATTTTTTAATTAATTCGAGATTCAAAGAAATAATAGCTATAGAACTGCACCATTCAAGACATGCAATTTCACGTCCTCAACTTCAAAAGCACCTGTGGGGTGACCATTACTGGTCTATTCTCCAGGCCATACAAAGAGAAACGGGGTAGTTACTGTTGTACAAAGCCCCACCGCTGGTAGGTAGTTGGTAATGCACCATTCAGCAAGTCTGGTAGGCCCCATCTAAGTGAGAGAAACAACCTTGTCCGCATGGCAGAACTCTAAGGCTCTTAGCTTCCTCTGGACAGATCTGAGTTTCGTAATCCATACCTGCCCCTCTGCTTTGGACTCTTCACATCAGCAAGTTAGTTCCTTTGTACTTCTATTACCAATCAAGGAGAAAATGACAGTAATCATAGATCATACTTTACTCTAAAGACTTGAACAAATACAGACCACTTACTTTTCGTGTTACACAGCATTAGCTCTTATAACTGCATACAAGTTGATCTGTGAGAATGGCCTCAGACATGATCTCATTTAGTAGATATTAATTTAGGTCCCTAGAAAGACCCCACAGAGCAATCAAAGAAAACATCAGGAGATATATAACCCACCTGAAACTGAGGAAGGACTCATAGCTTGGAGATCTTCAAGCAATGTCACTGAGCAGCTAATTTTACGGCAGAGAGTACAGAGACCCCAAAAATAAAAGGCATTCTATGGTTAGAAAACTATTTAGAGCCACAAACCTGTACTTCACCTCAGTGCTTGTGACTACCACAAACACCTCGTTCCACACAAGAAAGTGCTGGTCCAAAGAGAAATACTTCAGTTAGTGATGTTAGAGATCCTCTAGAACGTACTGCATTTAAGATAAAGAGTAGTAACAAAACCAATGCACGACTCACCACCAAGCGTTTGTGACCAGCGTCAAGAGAGACAGCGCAGCAGGGAATGGTGCTTGTCACCCAAGCCTGAAGGCCTGAGCTGGACTCCCAGAACTCATAGAAGGGTGGCAGAAGAGCAGATTCCAGAAAGTTCTTTTCTGACATCCACAGGCTCGCTGTGGCATGGGTAACAACACCCCCCCACACACACACACACATTGATCTTCACAGGCTGACACACGTAACACTCCCCCCCACAGATACATACATACACAATAATAACAAAATTTTCAAAAAAAAAAAAAGAGTTCATCACCAAAGAACATGTTTAATCTAACCACACGGAACAATGACACCAACCTCGGCAAATGATCCCTTTTACTGGCTGTCTACCTGAGGAATTCCTGTGACCATCTTCTTTTTAACTATTTTCCCTCTTTAAAATAAAATACTTTAAAGATTCTTTAAAACAGCTAAAGTAATAATTCAGCAAGTTTACAAGTTTTTAACTAAACTTTTAATATATACTGGACCAGTAAAGCGGCTCAGTGGGAAAGACGTTCGCATGCAAACCTGACGACCTGAGTTCAATTCCTGGAACCCAAGTGTATAGTCAGTGTTAACTTAAGAATCTAGAACCACCTGGGAGATGGGGCCTCTGGGCATGCCTGAGAGGAACTGCCTTCATTACGTCACTGAAGGCGGAGAGACTGCCCACTGTGGGTGGCACCATTCCCTGGCTAGGATCCTGGACGTCTAAACGGAGAGAGGAAGCTAAACCGCCTGAGTGTGCATTGCCTCTGCTTCTCAAGTGTGGCGTGACATGACCAGCTGCTCCAAGCTCCTACGGGCTGCCCTGACTTACTCACGGCGATGGGGCTCGGTGTGCCTTTGTTCCCTCAAGTTCCTTCTGTAAGAGTATTTTATCACAGCACAGAAAAGAAAAACACTATGGAAAATGGAGGAGGAAGATGCTCTACAAAGTTGCCCCTTTGATAAGGCACATATGTCACAAAATGTGGGCGCGCGCGCGCACGCGCGCGCGCGCACACACACACACACACACACATTGCAGTAGATTACTGTGACATAAAAATCTTAATTTATACCAGCTGAGGATACCCCTAACTCAGATTTTTTCTCCACACCTTAAAATAACCAACCATTCTGTCAGTACTTGTGACTGCACTGCAGTTGGCCAGCCCTGCTGCGCGGGTTACTGAGAGCTTACCCCACACATGCATATATTTTCCTCCCGTCCTAACTGCAGTCTTGGAGACAAGCATACCTTCACTTTGGCGGGTACTTCCAATGAACAGTGGCACTGTGCCAGGCAAACTAGCAAACTGGGCTGCTTCTGGCCAGACAGGGGCAAGAGGAAGCCTTTCCAAACCGCCTGCTCCCACATAAGAGCAGCGTATTTCAGAGCCTCGACTCACCGTGGCCTATAAGCACTGAAGGGCGCTTGTCACCTCACACACAGCCTCTTCTAGGTCCTTACAACACAGGACACTGGAGGGCACGAGAGTGTGTGTAACTCAAAGAGAAAGTTAAGCCTAAAAGGGGTGAGATGCCTGCCCAGTCAGACCTCACTCATACTCACTACCCAGCAGGTACCAGGGTGACCACAGATGCAATGGAGGATGAAGGATGTTTAGTGGGAGAAAGAAGTAAGGCTGCCACAGAAGCATTCAAGAGAATCACTTGGAATTAGGGGACTGAGAAGGAACTTCTAGAAGAGGAGCTAAGCTGAGCCCTAAAGGATGAGCAGTAGGCCCCCAAGAGTAGTGTGGTCCCTCACACTGCTAGACTGTCACCTGAGGAGATCCAGAAACAGATAATCAGAAACAAAGAATTTCTTTGCTCAGGGTGCAATTTCTGAAGACACGGAAGGAGCAGACCCTGGAAGACAATATACGAAGACTTGGCTCTCAAGAGTGATGGGAACACAATGTTTTATGAAAGAAGAGACACAGTCCAATCTTCACTTTAGAAAATGTTCTCAGGGGGAAAAAAAGAAAGAAGATGTTCTCTGCTGCCAGCGAGAAGAATTAATACATGAGAACACACAGATGTCTAGATGAAGCCACACACATCCCACAAGGAACACTTGTTTTATCTAAAGAGACAACATACTAAAGCGAATGCAATAAAAACGCTGCTCGGAATCCCTTAACAGGTAAAGAATTTATAGCATTTGGGTGGTCAAAAAGTAACACATTTGCTTCATAAGTGGCTCAAATAAATAGTATAAATAAATGAGACTGACTAATAAATGTGACTAATACCCCATATAAATAACTTCTCCAAAGTCCAGTATAAACTAGTTGCTAATCAATTCCTTCACATTTTTATACAGTTCCCCAAGGACAAAGAAAATAAAGATTAAAGCAATAAGATGATATTTTATCTTTTAAAATATTATACTTTTGAATCCACAGGTCAGTTTTAGAATCATCAAAAGTGAGACAAGCTATATTCCTCATGATGTGATACAAAAATAATCAAGTACCCAGGACATATTCTTATCTAGAGATTTCAACCTGAGGCTGGGGAGATGGCTCGGTAGGTAGAGCACCTGCCAACAAGTACTGGAAGCCGAGTATGGACACCCAGAATCCAGGGAGAGCTCCACCTAGGAGAGCATACACACTTCTACGGCGAGCTGGGATGGAGGCAGGGACAGGAGAGCTGGAAGTTCATGGGCCTGTGAGCATGGTGTATGAACAAGAGACTGTCTCAAACAAGGGGGAAGGAAAAGACCAACAGCCAACGTTGTCCTCTGACCTCTACATCAAAGCCACACTCGCTCACGGAAGACATGCACACACAAAGATTTCAAATCCAGTAACGATAGAGATAACCTATCAATAAGTTAGACACTTAATTTTTACCCAGCAGTGGAGGTGTACACCTTTAATCCCAGCACTTGGGAGGGGAGGCCAAAGGCAGGAGGATCTCTGTGAGTTCAATGCCAGTCTGGTCTACAGAGCGAATTCCAGGACAGACAGGATTACAAAGAGAAATCCAGTCTCAAAAAAAAAAAAAAAAAAAATGCAATTTTCACAATAATCCAATAGTACATTCAAAATTAAAACTGAGAGCATCCTGCTATGAAATTATACAACTATATAATATTATAAGAATTCTTTCTGGATCTCAACCAATCAGAAAATGTGAACACAGCCTAACATGATATTCAATACAGTAATAGGCGATATCAAAAACAATTCTGCTTATGTTATTAAGTCTAATCATTAAATGAGGTTTTTTTTTATTTTTACATGTATTTGTTGTATGTATGTGTGTGCACATGCATGTGTCCACAGTGTTGCAGTCAAAAGGCAACTGCAGGAGTGTGTTCTCTCCTTCTACTCTGTGGTCCTGGGGATTGAACTCAGGCCCCCAGACTTGGGTCATCTCACTGGCCTTTTAGGTGGTTTTTAAAGATTCATACCAGTTAAAAAATGTACATTTATTATTTTTAAAAGAGACCGTGGCTGAAGAGATGGCTCCGCAGTCAGAGCGCTGTCTGCTCTCACAGAACCTCAGTTCAATAGCCAGCACCCACAGCTCACAATAGAGGATCCGGCATCCTCTTATGCCCTCTGTGAACACTGCACACACGGTGCACATGCATGCAGGCAAACACTCATAAAGTAAAAACAAATAAATCATAAAAGAGACAGAGTACCATCATCTGGTGACTCTCTCCAGGAGCTGAACTGCAAAGCTTCCTAAGGGATGAGGCTCATCTTGTACTATAAACTCAAGGAAGGACAGGTGAAGTACAAGGCCGCCAGCAGTGCTCAGCGTCACTACTGCCTCTCCACCCCCTCTCCTCCTTGCTTGTCACAGACTAAACGGCACACTCTGATGCCTTAGCTTCACCTGCAGTGACCTCAGCTATCAACAGACATGATGGACAAGCTGTGCCTATTATTGTGTGTGCAAGGGCAGGCAGTTGGGATTAGGAGGGTTTGGAAATGTCCATTCCACATGTACAGAAAGAGAGGCATACAAAGAGGTCACACTAATCCTAACCCTGACAGAGCCACAAGCTGAATGTCAGAGGTGGCCAGCACAGACGCTCCTCTTGGTGCTGGAGCATGGATGTCACGCTCACTGACCTTCCCATGTTCCTTCCTCATGTGAGAGAGATACACATCCCTCTGTGTGAACAGACGGTCACACTCCCAACACGTCCACCCGAGACTGGCCATCTTCTTAGATTCTGTGGATTTCTTTGCAGGAGATGGAGACTTCTTTTCCAATTTCTCTTTCCCATTCATAGCCTTGGCATCCTCTTTGCTGTGGTTTGCTGAATTTTGAGTTGCAGGCTTAATGCTCAAAGGCAAATTTATACCCAAGTTTGGAGGCCCTTCAATACTTTTCAATGTTCCATGCATAGACTGCATTATAAAAAGAAAAGAAACGCCTATCATAAGTCACACCGATTCGACAGAATGACAATCATTCACAAAGTATTTCCTAAACTAAAAATACACATTTTTAAAAGCATAAAGGGCAGTCAGACATGGTGGCACACACCTGTAACCCCAGCACTCAGGAGGTAGAGGCAGGAAGATCTCTACACAGCAAGTTTTGGGTCAGTCTGGGCTACACAGTAATTCTTATCACAAAAAAATTGAAATAAATTAAGATGAATTAAAAACAATGGAGTCACAACGCATAGTGGAGCACACCTTTAAACCCAGCACTCAGGAGGTAGAGGCATGCAGATGTCTGTGAATTTGAGACCACCCTGGTCTATGTAGACAGTTCTATGCATGCCAGGGTGATAGTGAGACCCTGTCTCAAAAAACAAAACAACAACAAAAATGAGGCAGGAAAGGTGGGGATAAAGGGAGATTAACTTTCTTTACTTGATGAGAGGGCTCACATGTCAAGGCACAGGTGTGGAAGCAGAGGACAACTTGAAGGAACCGGTTCTCTCCTTCTACTGACCATAGTTCCAAATAATTTCTCAAGGTCTATGCATCAGAGTCATTTTAGCACTCTCTGAAGACAGGACCCTGTCCTGGAGCATGTTAGTTAACCTCCATCCCCCAGACAAGAGTGAGTCCTCTGGAGATGGCTTCACCTTCCCGCTTACAGAACTGTATAAGTAGGCCCATGTGCAAACGAGTATCTGAGGCCCATGACTCAGCAAACCATGCTACTTCTCACATTCCTGGAATACCTGTAGCCTTTAGGTATAGGCACTGCCAAGATTTGGGGGTAATTTCCACCTCTCAATCACTCATTACTGGGAGGAGTATACCGCCTCTACATGTGTACCCAGTAGGTACTCAAAAAGCCTTTTAAAATTGGGTAGCTGTTTATTATCATTAACAGCCAACAAACAGCCATCCTGAACTCACAGGAGTTCAGATGTGGTGGGATAAAATCAGTACAATTTGATTATTTTTACCCCTTGCAGTCCTAAGCATTGCGTCTAGGGCTGCATGCATTCCAGGAAGTACTCCATGCTGAGATATGCACCTTTCTACTTTTTATTTTGAGGCAAATCCTGAACTTGCGACTTTGTAGCTGAGGCTACGGGCAGTACCACCAGACTCAACTGAAGCAATGATTCTAAGACTTTTGGTTCTTGTCTGTGTCCTAAGGCAGCAAATCTGTCTCAAGACACAGTTATTTGTGAATGGGCCTTCTCTCCTGATAAGAAGGTAGTTTGCCTCATAAGTTCTGTGCCCACAAGCGTACTCACAGGAGCTGTCCCTCAGGACTTCTGACACCCACATCCCCATTGTCAACAGACCAGCTCTGTGGAAGGCTTGGCCCCAAAGGAAGACATCATTCTAACTCCCCAAGATGCTTTCTTAAGAATGGGCTTAGCTAAACAATTCAGTATTAGTGGCCTTCTTGCCCCTGTCCTTTCCAGGAAGAAAAAAAAAAGGGGGGGGGGGGAATGGTGTGGTAGCCTCCGAGCAGGGCAGACAGTTTCTTAAAGTCACACCTGTTTTTCTCCAAGTACATGCCAGACTTCTGTGTGCCCAGAAGGCAACTAATCTGTGCCTCAGTACACACTTACCTGTTTAGACTTGTGTGTGTGTGCGAGAGAGAGTGTATGTGCGCACGTGCATGCACAGCTTCACACGTGTCCATGTGAAGACCACAGGTCAATCCCAGAAGTCCTCCCTCCATTTTAACAACTGCACTCTCTCTCCAGCCCATGGGCTTTTTTTAAAAAAACAAAAAACAAAAAAAAAAATGTCTAACCATTTTAAAAATAAGGGACAAATTTTCAAGTCTTAAACTTTCCGTAAGCTACAAGGCAAGTGGAAGAGAGGGCAGGGACGCATTTCTCCTCCGTAAAATAACCCTGGGGACAGAAATCACCAAGATAAGAAGAGCACCGTGCTGAAATGAAGGTTTCTAAGTTATTAATTGTATATTTGTCTATACACTGTAAGTAAAGGTAAAAAAAAATTGACTATCTTTAATGAAAGAAATACAAGTATGTCTAGCATATGCAAGGTCCTACATTTGATCACCAGAAACATCTTTTAAAAATACTAATACAACTTAATTCATTCAGAAATGACTTTCCTTTGGCTCTTGCAACAGCAGCTAACCTAGACGACTATAAGTTAAAAGGTTCAGCTGAAAGCGAATGTCAACATGGAGGGTAAGGACCTACCAAGTAAATATATACGTATCCTGGGAGAACAGAGACATGGTGTGAATCAGGTAAGAAAAGGCCACCTGAGAGACAGACAGAAAGAGAAGACAGCGGAAGAGGGTGAGAGAGACAGTGTGTGTGTGTGTGTGTGTGTGTGTGTGTGTGTGTGTGTGTGTAAGAGTGTGGGGGCGGGGAGAGCCACCCTCCCCAACATCCACACTTCAGTTCTCCTTTATGACTAACTGCTCACAAGTACCAGGCAAGATAAATATGGAGCAAGTAAGAGACGCACCATATTAAACATAAAGATGCCTGTAATACATTATATTTCTATTCTTACCTACCAAGCATAACGTAACAGGAGTTTAGGACGCTAGCATGTACATAAAACGAAAACAGCCCCACTGTTTTCCTATCACATAGGCTGGGAAAGGTCCAGATAACTAAAAACAATCTCTCTCCTATGGTCACAGGATTAGACCATTCTTCCTCAATTTCTATTCTTTGGGGCCTATATTTATCCACATTCACTATTACAAGAAGAATCCCCTATCCCACCCACACACCACTTCCTCATGCCAAGCTTAAGTTCCGGAAAGCAAATCTCAGAAGCCTTGGAAGAGGCAACTTGCCCCTCCCTGCCTGCCTCCTGTTCACAGGGGGAAAGAAGCTAGAACTGAGCAGGAGGGGCACCGCCTTTAATCCCATTACTTAGGAGGCTGACTCAGGAGATTTCTGGAAAATCAAGGTCAGCATGGTTTACATAGTAAATTCTAGGCAACCAGGAGTATCATCGCAAGACCCTATCTATTTTTAAAAAAAAAAAAGGGAGGGGGGAGGAGAAAGGAAGGAGAAAGAAAGAAAGCCATAATTAAGTACCAGCCTTGAGACGGAAAATGGAGCATGTTGCCTCTTTAGGGATGTGGAGACGAGAATCCAAACAAGGCACTTACACTAACACCCACACCAGGTCCAACACCAATCTGCCCTAAGTATTTACAGCCAGGAACTCGGTGCCTAAGAGAACACTTAATACTTACTCTCTTGCAGAGGACCTGGGTTTGGTTCCTAGCACCAACATGGTGGCTCACAACCATCCATAACTCCAGTTTCAAGGGAACTGATACTCTCTTCTGACCTCAGAGGGCACCAGGCATGCATATAGTGCCCATACATACATGCAGACAAAACACACATACATATAACATAAAATTGGGGGGGGGAGATAAGGTACAACTATACAGCCCTGGCTAGCCTGGAACTTGCCATGTAGACGAGGCTGGCCTTGGTCTCACAGGGATCTTCCACATGCCTCTGCTACCAATTCAAAGTATGTGCCATCATGACCAAATTACATGCTATTTTTTATAGGGTGAAAAAAACCGAAAGACTAAATTGAATACAATGCAAATTTAAGTGCTTATATGATTTCAAGAGGGAAACCTCAATTTTTCTGAATGCACAATTATTTGTATAAATTAACAAGACTCATCAAAAGTCCTGTTTCCTAATTCCATATGACAGAGTTCTCAAAACAGAACACTACAGAAACTGTCAAGAGCACATACTGCATTTGTGGAAGACCCGAGTTCAATTCCCAGCACCCACCCCACACCATTTACAACTGCCTATGCCAGATCAAGGAAAATCTGAAGTCTGGTCTCCACAGGCACTCGCATGCATATACCCGCACACTGACATATACACATGGTTAAACAAAAATAAACCTTATTTCTTTAAAGAAAACTTCAGCCATCATTTTCATGTAAATAAAAGGAGCCCTAAAAACCTCATTATTTTTTAAAACCAGAGCATGCACACCAGCTCCTTTTCAGCGTCTTTGGGAGGCAGGGCTCCCGGATAAATGGCACTCCGAAGCTAACTGAGCATAAGGACAGCCTGTTCTCTGGGCCAATCCAGCTCTTTCCCTAGGTAGCAGCATGCTTTACAGAAACCTGCAGCTCAGCCAGGGCCCTACAACCATGCATGTATCTGCAGTTCACTTAGACGGGAGGAGAGACGCGCACACACACCTTGATATGGTCCATCATAAGTTGCTTCTGTGCATATAAAAGAGAACAGTCTGGACACTTGAAAACAGACACCTTCTGGTTTTCAATGTGCTGGTCAAAGTGGCGGTACAGCAAGGTCTGCAGGGTGAACACAGTGTCGCACATGGAACACTTATAGATTATTCTAGAACAGAAGAAGCGCAGCGAGATACAGTCAGTCAGCCTCATCTCAAAGGAGCTACGACTTAGCATCTAAAGAACTCAGGAGGTAGAAGCCACTGAAAGAACACAAGCAAAGAACATTTTAGCTGTGATACAAACTTTTCAAGACAACCGGCATCACTCAATCGCAGGTAAGTCTTCAATTCTGACTAAGACACATTCAGCGACATTTGTTTTGAGATCTCAATAAGTGACCATCTTCTGCCTCACAAGGATATGATGGGCTTTTGTACGAAATCTCCCAGAACTGATACACACAGCAAGAAACAATCACAATTTCTCTCATTCCCGCCCTCTTTCCCCTCTTTTGAAAAAGGCAATACAACCAAACAGTAGCCTTCTAACCTGAAAAAGGATGTGGGGGCAATTTTTTTGTAAGGTCAAACAAAGCAGTATGACTCAATGGTGATGCCCTAACTAAAAAAAGAAATTTGATTAATGAACTAAAGACACCCAAGCTCTACTATCTGGACAACCTGCCCCAGTTTACATTTAAAATCAGCAATTTCACACTTGAACATCAACCTTTCTATACGAATTTAACACAGAATACTGTACGCCAGTACACAATTACAGAGATAAAAAGACGAAAACACACAGCCCTGGAAGACCCAGCACCAGTACACCAGACACTATTTCCATTCCAAATGCTTAGCCACAGCCACCTCCTTACATTAATGTCCAGCAGACTGGAATCTTCTCAACAAACCTCTTCCACTCGCTTAGACCTGTCCTGAAGCTTGGGGGTGGGTGTTTGGTGGCACTGGGGTGTGTATGCAACACTCCCCTTGTATGCAGCTGGGACACAGCAGTGGGCCCTTCCTTAGGAACTGTCCCTAGGTCATCCTGGTCCTCAAGGAGGGCCTGTGGAACCTGTCCCCTTTGAAGAACTGTGGAACAGGCTCAAAGAGACTCCCGAGTCGCTCAGAAAAGACGGCAAACTGGCTGAAGAGAAAGGTCAGAGGGGAAAAGAAATTTAACTAAAAAACTGCACAGCAAAGCTGGCAGAAGGAAGCCTCATGAACCCACATGTATTTCCTGAGCATGTTCCTGAGATGACTCCTCACATGGCTGCAAACTCCACTGGCCAATGGTGTCAAAAAAAAAAAAATGTAATTTAGTCCAGCATGGTGGTGTACGTCTGTCATCCCAGCACTTGGGAAGATGAGGCAAAGGAATTGCTATGAGCTCAAGGGCAGCCCAGTATACTGCAAATATCATCCTGGTCAGGGCTAAACAGCAAGACTATCTCTAAATTAATTAATTAATTAGCTTAACTCTTTAGCTTTGACTCTCATAGAAGTTTTCTAATGTAACTAGAAGACCACATGTTCCAAGGTCTTGCCAAATCAGTCACTTTTCACCTTCAACTGAGATGGGGAGAAAGATCCAGCTCATTGCTGGCAGGCTTTGCTACCACAGCCGAGTGCTGGTCCCTGTGATGTCTCACACCACAGCAGCAGGTATTCAAGGATGCTCACTTTCCTACTGTTTGAAACTGCTTACGTGGTGAAGTCTCGAGTACAGTGAAATAAAGCATCACACAATCACACCGAGCAACTATGTAAGCATATCTTTAAAAGACAAAGATTTTCAGGAAAATTAAAACAAGGCAGTATATTATGATATGGGCACATTTCCTTTTTATTAGTGAGGTGAGTGTGCGTGCGTGCGTGCATGTGTGTGTGTGTGTGTGTGTGTGTGTGTGTGTGTGTGTTGGATCCCTGGGAGCTGGACTTACAGGCAGCGGGGAGCCTCTGGAACATGAGCGCTAGGAACTGAACCCAGGTCCTCCGGAAGAGCAAGAAGAATTCGTAACCGCAGAGCCATCTCTCTAGCCCAATGACCACATTTCTTAACAGGTAGAGGAAAGTATAAAATTATCATTGTCTCTGGGGATGAATAGTATATCATGCTCTATTATTCTGTTTATCTTTATTTTATGGGTTTTCTATAATCAAAATACAGTCATTTGACAAAAGAATAGTGTCTGGGATGCAGATGGCTCAGCAGCTCGGAGTATGTAACACACTTGCAGAGAACCCAAGTTTGGTTTCAGCATGGTCCCGTGTCAGGTGGCTCACAACTGCCTGTGAAACCCAGCTCCAGAGGATCTCTGGCTTCCTGCACTCACATGCATGAACACACACACAATTAAAAATAAATCCTTTAAAAAGAACAGCCTCATAATAGTGTCTATATGGAAATGCCATAATGAGACCTGTCACTTTGTATGTATGCTTAAAAAATTAGTTTAAAAAAAAATGTGAGTTCGAGGCCAGACTGGTCTATAAAGCAAGTTCCCCAAACAAATGTGCAGGGAGAAGAGTTTTAAGAGAAGCACTGAGATTTACTAGTTGGACTGACTATTCACTTAGGGATTCTATTTCTCAGCACTTCATAAAACCAGGCATGGGGGACCGGAGAGATGGCTCAGTTATTAAGAGCCTGCACTGTTCTTCTAAGGGACTAGAGTTCAGTTCCTAGCACCCACATCAAGCAGCTCACAGCTGCTCCTAACTCCGGCTCCAGGAAGATTAAACCCTTCTGGTAACGTATCCACACACATGTATCCACACACGTGTACATACACATCACACACACACATATACATAATTAAAAATAAATCTTAGAAAAAAACAGGTATGGCTCTCATTTTCTTCATGGTACATTATCATGCATGAAACCTAAGATGATAGAGCTACTTTGCATTTGTTGAGGAAGCTGAGGAACAAGCTGTTGATATGCTATCAAAAAACCTCCTGTGAAACAGTGAGGAGCCAAAAGCACGGATAAGCTTCTATAATCCTTCCAAAGGCAGAAAGGCAGTGTATTCTAGGTTATCCTGACTAGACACAGGCTATCCTGACTACACAGCAAGACCTCATCTCAAAAGGCAAAACAAACAAAAGCACTAAGGAATGTAGAGGAGAAAGACGTGAGAAATACGCACAACCCACCAGGCTCGACGGGAGCCGACAGAAGCACTACTGACTGACTACTGGCTGAGTCCCAGCGGGGCCCGCAGAGAAGATGCGCAATCTCATGCTGCAGGGTTCCCGATGATGAGAGCAGGGTCTGGGCTGACTCCGAGAAACCAAGAACAGATAGGGAAGGCCATCCCAGAATGATAGGTTGCTTTTCTTTTTTTGTTTTGTTTTGTTTTTCTGAGGGGCGGAGGTGTCTAGGCAGCTGGAACAATCTGAACCTAAAACCCAATCTGTGAACCGGCTGGCACTGACACCTGAACAGGGGCTGTGTGCTCATGACTTTCACAGGAGGAGTGTGCTTTTGTGAAGGGAAGAACACACTGAGGTAACAGGTCATAATGTCCTGTTACTCCAAGGATGAGGAGATTGGGTTATAATGAGCTGGACCAGGTCGTGTAAAGCTGCCAGCAACCAGGACTCTGAGCAAAGGCACCCATGAGTTCTCAGTACATGCTGCCAACGTTTTTGAGGGGGCAAGAACCATTAAAAGTAGCAGTAACTGCTGCTGCTGCTAAAAACTAGAAACAGCAGATGACAAAACTACCACAAGTCCATGAGTGTGGTTTTAAGAACAAATTATGAACACAAAGCAAACTTTCCAGTAACAGCGGGAAAGCCTGAGAGAAAACAGTCTGCTGTGGGTGAAACAGGGAGGCTTCCCAAACTGGGGGCAGGAGGGACAAAGGCAGAGGTCAGCAAGCGGGGGCCCTCACGTCCACAGTGTGTGTGTGTAGGTGTGGGGATAATTTGGAGCTGGGAAACACGAGGGACTGGACAGCCAGACCGTTTTGGGTAGGAGGATATCAAAGTGGACAACAGGCCCAGCCAGCTCCTTAGACACTGCTGTACATGTGTGGGATACAAAAACAATTAAGTTGGAGCTCTAAGCCCTGAGATTCCAATGTGAGCAGCTGATTAAACCCCAACAGGCGCATGAAGCACTCATCTCCACAGTGCGGCTGGTTCCCGTAGCCCCGGCGAGGTAAACTGATACTGCCTCCAGGTCCCACGTAGCACAGTAAGAGTCAGAGACCTGAGGTCATTTGTTTGATGTCAAAAATAAATAAATAAATAAATAAATAAATAAATAAATAAATAATTTCTGGTGCAGAGTTCTCTTTCCCGGGACCTAGGAGCTCCCCTTCCATGCTAATAGTGTAATACCATAGGCCTTACTTCTCAGGGGCTTGTTCCAAATCTGCCTCTTATACAGCTCTTAACTTGGGAACTGCCATGTGCTCAAAATAGCATAAATTATCCAGCAATTATTAAGAGTTCAAAGTGCCCTTTAAGACAGCAGTGGAAATATGCCCACTCACATCCTGGAAAATAAGAAGCGAAACAGCAAACAGTGCTTACAGCGGTATGTGGAACACGACAAACATGTTACAACTTGCCTGGTACTTTGCAAATTGAGGTGTTAAAACTGTAGGATTTTTGGTATACGCTCAGATGTCTACATACTCCATACAGAAAAGGGGAGTAAGATGGAAACTGACCGATGATGTCATTTGCGTAATTTTGAGCTGCTTGTATAACCACGGCCATCCAAACACAGCTGCTGGGGGCAGCACCAGGCGGTTCTGATTCAAGAACAATCAGCTTCTTTTTAGTTAATTCCAAGATGACCCCGAAATGGCCACAGGATCAGAAGTTTACAGTAGCCTGAAAGGGTGAGGTGGTACAAAGGGCACTATCGCAGGCACAGTAAGCACCACAGGCCTGAACCCCACAGAGTTGAAGTAGCACGCCCTGCGGAGCGAGGGTTCAGGCCGGGCCGGACTCAGCCAAAAGCTGAGGCCTGAAGACCAGACGAGCACCAAGGTAATGCTGCTCAAACAGCGCTGCACTGGTCTGGGGCTTCCGTCTTCCATGTCGTCAGTGTGCTACTTCTATTTACAGGGGCTTATGCCTGTGTTTAGGTATTTGCTTATTAAAGAACCCTGATAGTGAAAAAGAAAGAACACAGAAGAATAAAGCTAGGAGTGGGATCGCGTGCCTGTAATCCCCGCACCCCAGGGGCTGAGGTGGCAGGGCAGCGAGCTGGGGTCAGCCTGGCCTACACAGTTGAATCCTGTGTGAGAGGGGACAGGAAAAAAAACCAGAGTAATGTTTTCCTACGCAATTTCCCTCTTATCTAGGGGACCCATCCTAAGACCTTCCCCCCAGTGGGGTCTGGAAGCCACACAGAAAACACTGAACACTCTAATTTAATACCTTTGCAGTCTCAACAGCACTGAGGCGAGCTTGTCACTTCTTGTTGGGTTTGACAGATGATTAGCACTGAATTCACTTTTCTCCTTCACTGTCTCACGGGCAGAGCATGGATTTTAGCATACAACTGCTTCCTGTTCCTTTACTAAGGCCTAGAACTTTCGCTTCTGTACTTTAAGGAGGAGCTTTCCTCCCCAGACAGGGCTGGCACCACTGCTCTGCCACTTTGGGGCCATTATGCTGTGCACTCGGGGCGACCTGCACACAAGACTTCATGCAATATCACAACCGTCAGTTAGACAGCCAAGCTGACCGTCCAATGGGCAGGCAGTGGATGGAGCAGACACACTGGACAAAGGGACGCTGGTGTGATAAAGAGATCCTGGGACACAGTGTATAACCTAGACCCACAGATTGTTTACTTCTGGAATTTTCCATTTAATAATTTCTGTTCACAGCTGATCTTGGTTAATGGAAGTTACAGAAATTAAAAATAGTAGATAAAGGGCACGGGGCTACTGCACCTGTAAAGTGTGTCCTGGAGGTAAAGCTACAAGAATTCTAGGCCTACTGTACTCAAACTTGACAACATTGTCTTAACTTGTCTTAATAATCTACTCTCCTCTATTTCCAGTTTTACAATTATTGTCAGACAGAATATGTGACTTATTTGAGTGAAAAATCAAGTGGCTATATTCATCACAAGGCAAACAAAGGCTGTTAGTATGCACAAATTTTCCCATCGTGAGCGCTGGAGACACATGCATTAATCTCACTAATCCCTGTCTCTGTGTGAAGACATCCACTGGAATTCAAATCCTCTAACTGTAATTAGCCTCCCTTTAAGGATCAATGCACAAAACATCAGGGAGAAGACCTATCTGAATAAATAGATTTTAACACTGCTTTAGTAAACAGTCATTTGTATATACTCAATCAAAAAAACCTAGACATATAAAGAAGTACAGGTATTATACTGCATAGCGATATCTCTTTCCCTTATGGGTCTTTGATAATGGAGTTACACACACACACACACACATATCAAAATACTGGGATAGCCAACCTAACCTCCATAATCGTTACATTTCACAAGGCCATAATGAATCTAGGACTAAAACGGCCACCACCAGGTACACTGTGTGCACAGACAGAGGGAGTGAGCGAATACAGAAACAATGCTCCACACCCCAGACAGGCTCCTCAGGGCACAGATTTCAGTCACATCATCCTATTCTAATCTCACGCAGACCCTGGGGCGCAAGCATGACCCGCACTTACAGGAGAGGCTGAGACAGGAAACAGTCTCAACTTCACAACTGGCAGCTGTAGGAAGTCTGACCTGCCCCTGCGCCCACATTCCCTCTCCCTGCTGCTGACTGACCCCTGCAGCAGACTGGCAGGTAGCCCGATCTGTTCACCAGTCCTAAAGCAAGAACAAGATTAAGCAAAACTAGATTTAATTCCACTAATCAAGACTTGTCCTAGCTATGAAGTTAAATTCAGTACCTAGTGTCTCAAGTTGACTTGGCCTTTTGAACATTGCTGGAAAAGTGTATCCTACAATAAACAATGATGGCAACACTGAACACAACATGGTTTGAGTTTTCTGGTTTTATATTTTATAATTTTCCTAAAACTTACTTGGTAAAAACCATCTTAAGGATAAAATGGGTAAGTATTTATTGGTTGAAGAGAAATTGATGCTAAATGCATGAATAACAGGTGACATTTTGGGACAAAGACTTTAACTGGAAAAAGTAGAATGACTTGGTTAGCTATGAGCAGAACGTCACACATCAAAAACCAACATAGCCGACACATGCTCAGACCTTACATTTCATTTACTGCAATGACACCCTCCTCTCAATGACACTACGGCAGCAGAGTAAAACTCAGCCATGGATAACTTACTTTGGTTCGCCTATCTTGATGCCAGGATGCTGCGTGTAGGCGTGGGAGTGTGTACTTGGGGCGGACTTAAACGCCATTGGACAGATAGGGCACTTGTAGAAGACTTCACAGTGAGAGCCTTGAATGTGAGACTTCAGTGCGGCCACATCAGAGTACACAACATTGCAATGTACACATCTGTCAGAGAAACAACACTGTCATTAGCACAGACCACCCAACACCGTGAGCGACATCGCTGTGTGAACAGGGTGAAATGAGTGTATTTCAGCCCACAGGGGTTCCTCGTGGCTTTTGGAAAGTACGTTGCCTCTTTGGCTTGCAACAGAGTAAAATTAATGTTGTATGTTTCATTGGAAAGATCACGAAGAAAATTAATGTACAAATGGTAAGTATTTGGAGCACCTTTAACATTTTGAGGAAGGATGTATACAGGAAGGCCAACAGACCGTGAGGGACACAGCAAGAACCTGGGGATCCTGGGGTAGGGAAAGACGTTCGTGTACTGGACTAACACTAGGGCCTGATGTTCCCACCTGTCCTAGATCTGTCCAAAGGAAGAGGTCTTGGGATCTGTACCTACATGCTCTCAACACAGGACAGAGAGAGGCACACGAAGAAGGCATGACCCATGGTCTCATGGCACACACTGGTGTAGTCAATATTTAGCGCCACACGGTGACCCAGATGGTGGTGGAAGTCAGCACCTGTGCGTTCGTTCTGTCTGCGAGAAAACAGTCTGACTGTGCCTGTATTCGGTCTTTAAACTACTTCAACACAAGCTTCTGAAAAATCACATCTCCAACAATTGGCTCCAAGCTTCTGAATTTCTAAGTATGACAATTAGTTCATTCCCTACTAAAACATAATCCCATAGAAACAACCTTCAAAACTGGGCCACCTCAGCTCCAGATCTTTGCACAAGGACTCGCAGCAATACTTGCAATACCTCCATTTGATGATGGACTCTTTCTTCTTGACTCACATATGGAAAACATTTGAGAATGTTCACCACGGCTCTTGGGAACCATCTGAGAACACGTTCTGTCTCGCATGTGACTGAACACACATGTTCCTAGTCGTGCATATACAAGTCACCCGGGAAAGAAATCTGTTGACAGGGCCTGCCCTCCAGGACACCACGCCAGACTAACACTTCTACACTTTTAGGCTTAGAGGCACACATGGACTGATGGAGTAACTCCTGGAAAACCACACAGAGGGCGTGTGTTCTATGGAACACACCATAGAAGGCTTTGCAGGCTTTGATAGAAAATCACGGTACGTTCTCAGGTTTATGGTCTTAAGTTACAGTGGTCACCGACACAGAAACTAAAACAATAAGTGGTGAACAAGAAAGATTGGGTATCTACCAACAGGGGCACTATCTCGATACAGGAGTCAGTCAAGTATACTGAAATTCTTCCGGGCCACCTAATGCTCCTAAAGTCTGCAGTTCCCTGTTTGTAAGATAAAACAAACTGGACAGATCATTACTAGTCCCACTTTCCCCTAGAAGCTAGTGACTACAAACCAAGTGGGGGGATGAGGTCTTGGTCAGAGCTCTGCAAGATTCCCAGGTTCCTGACCTTAGGGAAGTTGCCCATCTGATGAGATCAAGCACATCCGGGGAAGCTTAACTTTAGACAGATGCTAGAATTCGGCACTGGGGTCTAATGTTTCCACCTGTTCCAGTGCCACTAACCAAATGCTGCCCAAGAGTGTACTTCCCACCAAACACAGGACTAGACTCTATCTTAAGCAAAAGACCAAGACGAAAGGAAGTGAAGAAAAGCACACTATGCCCCAGATGTTCCAGAGCCACGTGGAGCAAGAGAAAAGCCTCACAGGCTGCAAACAAAGTAAAATATGGTTTTTAAGTTAGCAGCAGACACGACAGGGACTCAGTCTAAAGGGTATCACAGATGTTAAGGGAAAACAGAAGAAAAAGGACAGAAGAGGTTTAGGGCAACAGAGACAATGACATCTACAAGTAAAGCAGGCACATGGAACACGGAATTGCAGAGACACCTTATGGCATCACAATGCTACTAAGCATCTGCCTCAAAAGTTCTGGAATGACACGCATTTGCCACCATGCCTAGCTCTTTTTATTATTTATTTTTAATTTAAAAAAGGTTTACGCCGGGTGGTGGTGGTGCATGCCTTTAATCCCAGCACTCGGGAGGCAGAGTCAGGTGGATCTCTGTGAGTTCGAGACGAGCCTGGTCTACAAGAGCTAGTTCCAGGACAGACACCAAAGCTACATAGAGAAACCCTGTCTCGAAAATTGAAAAAGAAAAAAAGGTTTACGTTATACAATCCAACAATAATCTCTTCTTAAATGCTTGTTATCAGGAGGCAGGAAAGTTCAGAAAATATTTGACTTTTATCCATAATTAGCATTTACAAGTGAAGCAGGATCCAGGCATGGTCATCAATATTTAAGAGATATCATATAGGATCAAAAGATAAGCAAGAACCTGCCTAGGAAGGAACAGAGGCAGGAGTAGGAGCCCTGAGAAAATCTTCTCTGGCTACAAAAAAGATCATAGACAAAATGATTAACTACAGAGACAAAAGAGAGAGATGACGGAAATGAGAGAGACACAGACAAACAGGGCAGGACCAACAGACTGCCAAACCCAGTCAAAAAGCATCAACTATCCCACTATTTAAAACAGCAGGAGAATTGGGCATGGTAGCACTGGTCTCTAATCCCAGGCTGAACTCTTATTCCGATTCAGGTCAGCCTGGACTACAGTGTAAGACCCTTCACAAAAAGGGAGGTGGGGGTAAGCAAGAAAAATGTTTAAGTTTTTGTATCTTTTCTACAGAACTCAACATGAACTGAACTTCACAATAAACTAACAAGGGGGATGGGTGCAGTGATGTTGATCAATAATCCTAGCTCTGGAGTTAGGCTCAGAAGTGAGGCCAGCCTTGTCTTGTCTACACAGCAAGTTCCAAGACAATTAGAGTATAATAGTAGGACCCTGTGTTAAAAGCAAATACAGAAAAACCACAAGAATGATGTTTGCACAGTCTTTATACCCTCCAGTCTAGTTGGGAAAATCTACAGCTAATAAAAACTTGATAAAATTCAAACTGTAAAATTGAAAGCACCCAATTTAAGCAAGTCTGCCTGGGGCAAGTGAAGGGCAGAACAATCTTCTCCCAGAAAGATTCAGGCTTCCAGCCTGCATGTGAACCTTCTGTCTTAACTTGGGGGAGATACCAGGAATACCTCAGTGCAGAAGGCTGTCCCCTTCATCCCAATCTAGCCTTGTTTTCACTAACACCCAGCGTTCAGCAGAGAACAGTGGCAAGCGCTCAAGCTGCCCAGCTGTTCTCCCGGGCTGTGCACAGCCTCCCCTCACAGTTTCCAAGTATGTGGTAAGACCAAAGTACTGTGCTGCGTGGGGCTGTGCACCACCAGCTTAACCATCACATCTCAGAGGGTTGGGAGGCAAGTCATCCCCCACGTTACAGAGTACACAGGACACAAGAAGCTCACACAAGACAAACAAATTAAGCGCAAAGAAAAAACCCTGGTTTCTTGTTTTCTAAACCAAAGGTTTCCTACCAGGTTAGAGCTCAATCCATAAAGCATTTGTACACTACACATTGGAAGGCAGATGATTAAAAACAGGAATCTCTCATATTTCAATGTTAGAAAACTGAGCAGAGGGGATTGCTCAGTAGTTAAGAGCAAAGGCTCTTCTTCAAGAGAACCCGAGTTCAATTCCAAGCACCCACATGTTAGCTAACAATCATTTGTAACTCAAGGGTCAAGAGAGCTGAGGTCCTCTTCTGGCTCCCTTAGACAATACACATACATGGAAAACAGACATGCATGCAAGCAGGAAAAACACCTGAACACACACACAAAAAAAATAAAAATAAATCTTAGGAGGGGGAAGAAAAAGAAAGACAATTGGGCAGAATCACCCAAGAATTAGTGATCCTGGAACATAAACTAAAATGAAATAAAGGGGGCTGGAGAGATGGCTCTGCAGTTAAGAGCATTGGCTGTTCTTCCAGAGGTCCTGAGTTCAATTCCCAACACCCATATGGCAGCTCACAAACATCCATAATGAGATCTGGTGTCCTTTCCTGGCTTGCAGACATACATGCAGGCAGAACACTATATACATAATAAACAAATCTTTAAAAAATAAAATGAAATAAAATCATCAAACCACACCAATGCTACCTCATCTTTATGAAACGTGTGACGGAATCACAACTAAGAAAACCACTACACGTTAACAGTCTAACCAAACACAGTAAGACAAACATGCCACAGTAAAACATCTGCTAAAACAAAGACACGTCACCCATGACAGAGTCTCTGGAGTTTTCATCAGGGCAAGGGTAAGTGGAATGAGAGCACATTTAAGAAGGTAACAAAGTTTGAGAACAAAGTATATCATCACCTGACACTGGATAAATTAACATCAAAGTGGCCAGATGTCAAAAAGTACACATCTGGGAATCTCTGGGGCCAGTGAAAAGATGAAAGGGCCGGAACTGAGGTGGAGGAGGCAGAAGGGAAGGACTTTTGGAGGTGAAGCTTCTCCAAAGACTGATGCTAGAAAAGATGTTCACCTGACCCTTCTGTGTGGTTCCAGCAATTCATCGTGTTTGTATTATTAGAGGGGGACTAATTAGAGGTGCATGGTGTTCCCGCAGAGGATAAATACAGGGATGCAAAAACATACGTGCAGGGGTGGGGGGAGGAAGGCTGTCAGTCATGGCCAAGCCCCATAATGTGCACATTTACCTAAAAGTATCACCCATTTATCCTCATCCGTATGGACTGGCAAGGCCAACATGACATCAAACTTGGATTCAAATGGATCCTACTCTACTACAAATGAGCTAAGTTCCCAGAGGATCTGTGTGTTGGAGTACATATGACCAGGTAACCCTGAGAACTACGTATGTGCACAGGCCCTCCAAATCGTAGTGCAGTTATCAGTGAACGACTGGCACAGAAGTGAGCGACATACTGACCGAAAACCAACTCTCCGTGTGTAGTGCAGACAGCTCTTGGTGACGTGGGTCTGGAAGTGCACCGACCTGCAGATGGCCCCGCACTCGGGGCAGGTGTAGGGAGATTTGTGCTGATGGATTCTCTGGTGTGAAGCATAACTGCACTGGTTAGGAAGCAGCATCTGGCAGACAGTGCAAGTCTTCTAAACAAACCAAAGGGGGAAACACGATTGGTCCTGCTAAGCATGGCTATACGCAAGTTCCTTAGTTAAGCTGTACAGTAGTTACGCGTCTCATTTTAAACATTGTATAAATGACTACAGCCCAAGGGAAGAGCAAACCTGAAGACTACATGTTTAACAGAAATTTTTCACCCTGTAAAATAAAAATGATTAGAATGACGGAGGCAGGCTCATGCCAGTGTGAGCGAAAGCAAACACCAGCTTCAGATGCGTCCAGTCTTGTTTCTTTAGCATCTTTGTCCACAGCAGAGGTCCTCTTGCAAACTGTGTTGGCAGGTTAATCCTGCTACACAGTACCGAGCTCACTCGTACATGTGGGACATGTAGTTCCCACAATCCAGAACTTGCCTCAGGAAAGTAGAAATTGACCCAGGCTAATCCAGTTTCTTCTTATTTCCCAGTCACTTATCTATTTAAATCTTAAATTCAGGAACATGAAAGGGATGGTTTAGGAACTGGTTTTCTTTTGGTACCTAAGTTGGCCTTCAATGGATGAACTGGACATATTATGATTTATAAAATCATAAAAATCAAAAACTCAAGCTCAGATACATAAATTTGGACATTAAATTGAAATTTGCAGAGCTTAGAAATTTTACAAAGCTTAAAATCTGATTGTATTAAAAGAAAGGCAAAAAAACCTGAGATCTTCTTTGAAGAAAAATATTTAATTATCAAAAAAACCCAAATACTCTATCCTATCCTCCATCCCCTTAAATGTAAGTATAAATATATTTTTAAAACATAAACAAAAATACTCAGTTAATATAAACTGACTACCATCCTCAAAACAAATCCAACAGAATGAGAGATAAAATTCATACACTTTTCAGACATTTGTGCAAAACCAAGTACCTCTTGCATTCTAAAATAAATCATCTGCATTAAAGTCAAAGAAAGCCTCAAACTATAGATTCTTCTGAGATTAAAAATACTCTTTCAGATTGACAGCAGTTCAAAAAAAAATCTTTAATTCTTCATAGTTATCTCAAATTAAGCCCAAAAATTTAAGTTCTGAAGTGACTTATGCTAAGAAAAAGAGAAAACTCACTTGAAAATTATTTCTTGCCAGGCAGAGGTGGTGCACACCTTTAACCCCAGCACTCAGGAGGTAGAGGCAGGCATCTCTGTAAGATGGAGGCCATTCTGGTCTACAGAACAAGTTCCAGGGCAGCTAAAGCTACACAGTAAAATCCTGTCTCGAAAAACCAAAAGAGAAAGAAAGAAAGACAATTACTTCTTGGTTTTTCTCCTGAAAGGACTGAAATACAAGCTTTATCCCATGAAATGTTTATTGTAAACACAAAATGAGAGCATTACAGGCAGTGTTGATGAGTTTAACGTCACTAAAAGATGCCACTCCTAATAAGACATTCTTCAAAGGTTAAAACATGCACAACAACGGAACCAGTCAACAGAGTCCTAGTTACAAGAGCCCGCTGTCATTACATAGTCATTGGCAATCACTCACTATGAACTACAGGCTTCCACCTTCTCCACAGCCATCATCCCAGGGAGAATTATGGAGGCATCTTGGTGTGCACTTACTTTCAATTCTAAAATAAGTCAAAAAACATTTTACATATATGTCTCTACGTTCACATATGCACACATTCAAAGGTATATACACACATACTCATGTATAGAGAGAGATATTAATATAGATTTAGATATGGATTGGTTTCATTTCACCATGACTCAAGCAGTGAATTAAGTTCTTTCAATACATTAGGAACTTAATATAGATAAAATACATTGTATCATTTATTTCTCATAATCTATGAAGTCAATAATATCTTCATTTTACAGAAGAAGAAATGAGACTTAATGACATAAGAAATGTGTTCTATACCCACTGCTACTAAGGCAAGGACCAGGATCAATCAGGCTCGGGTGGAGAGGCAGCGGAAAGAGTGGAATGGGATCACATGAACTGAACCATCACAAAAACACAGAGTTGAGAAACACGAACAAATAAACCTGAATGTCAAAGATGACCCGTTTATGTTAAGACAATAAATTAGTTTCTCTTTCCCTATAGCTTCTCCCATACCTAAAACGTGATTATACTACTTCTGTAATAGTACAAAGCTAAAAGAAAAGAAACTTTAAAAGAACAAGGGTCATGTGTTGTATAAAAGCTAAAAACAAAAAGACTTACATTATCATCCATTAAGAAATAATGACAAGCAATACAATACATATAAAATGAGCAACTCATTATGCTCATCACCTGATTATCACCCAAGATCACCATTATCACAGCTCCACCTTTCCCAACCACGGGCAGCCACCAGCTGAGGCTCCCACCCATGTCAGACCCAGAAGTAAAGAAGGAAGATAGGGACTCCAGCCTCAAGCCAAATGCGTTCAATCCTGGAGTTCTTGAAAAGGGAGGTGGTCAGCGATCACAGTGGACATGCAGGGACCTTACCTTCAGTTTATACAGGTGCATACACATCTGTGCACATACCCACACTACCCCTGTGTTTCTCTCTCGGCTGACTGCTGCACGCCTCACCTCCATCCCATTTCGGGTGAAAGCACTCTCCTTGATGTCTGCATAGTACCCATGTTTCTGAACTCACATGACATTGTTTCCTTAACCGTGCGGCCTCAGATTGCATAACTGTCCTTGCTGCAGACAGCAGAGATTCCACCAGCTCTCTGGGATGCTCTGAATCCGTGACAAAATGCACATTGTCTGGACTCAGAGGACACAATGAGCACAGGAGAGCAAACGGGGTCTTTGTGGTCTGGTTTTCCCTTCCTTTTTGTTTAAGTCAAATAAAGTTTTCCTAATTGGCACCAACTACGGCTGCTAGGCAACTCAGAAGGAGACGTGGCAGTTGAACCCAGTAGTGCGTGGCTCAGAAAGAGAACAAAAGAGAAGAAACACATGCACATGGATTTGTGTCTCTGGACATTAGGCTTAGTGCCATCGGAACATGCATAAAGGTTTTGATGATCAGGTAGAAAGCAGCTAATTTCTTCTCTGGGGCAGTTTTGTTTGCTCAGGGAATGATTTTTCAACTAATTTTACTTGTCAATAGTACAGCAGCACTAGAAGCCGAGGGAAAGGGAGCTGGAAAGGTCACAGTCCTTCCTGAGCCTGATGGGCAGGCAGCCAGCAGCGGCCTGAGTTGACAGCTGGCATAACAACAGAGGCTGGGGGAGGGGGTGGGACCGGACATCCTGTTAAGAAGCTGGACAGGGGGACTCAGCACCCTCTTTGCACAGTGAGGAATTACCTGAGCAACAAGGAACACAATTCTTTGTCTCAGTTTGTTCTTTTAGGGAGAAACAGAGCCTGAGAAAAGTGAACAGGGGAAGGGCGAGCGAAGCTAGCGACCATAACCACACAAAGCACCTCTCACAAGTAAAGCAAGTAGGCCTAGGGCCTGCAAAACACTCGGGCCAAAAGCCAGATCACTGCAGCTCAGCGGGGGCCTAGCTGAGTCAATGCCTGTGCCCTGCACCAGTTCCATAAACTGCATGACGGTAAGATGATGCTTTTAGTGGTCATGATGAAGCTTAGCAGTTTCTTTCCTGGCTTTCACATCTTCACAATTAGAAGAGAACAGAAAACGCTTTACTCCCAATCCCGCTTAAGTGGGGGTGACAAGCATGTGTCACATCCTGATTACATGTATCCTTTGTTCCCAGGGCTAGCTGGTTAGCAGTTGTTTCTAAACCACTTGCCACATCCAGAGCTGGCTGACTGACGCTGTAGGCAGCCACACATAATCCGCTCAGGTGACCGTTTCTAGAGGATGTGGACTTGTTAAGAGTTGGTAACACTACCATGTAAACCAGGGCAGGACTAGTCGGAACAGGACGAAATTAGCAGTCTAGGGAGCAGTGCCTGAAAGTCTTCAGCAGAAAGCCAGTGGCCCACATCTGTAATCCCTGCATTTGGGCAAGGGGATCGTGAGTTCAAGTGCAGCCTGAGTAACAGCAAGAGCCTGTCTAAAAATACAAACCCCAGAGGCTGTGAGTGGAACTCAGCAACGAGACACTTGCCTAGCATGCCTAACTAAGGCCTCGTTTAGTCTCCAATGTGGCGAGGGAAGAGGGTGAAAAAGACAAGTGGAGGAAGGAAACTTAGTCTTCTGATAAAGACGGGGTGGGGCAGGATGCTCCAAGACTTCTGCGCCTGAGAACAGTTTATCTAGAAATGAGAACAAGCAGATACTGCTCGAAAGAATTTAATGTATAGTACGCCGTGTTAGAGATTCCCAGAAAGGGGACTGAAGAGATGGCTCAGCAGTTAAAAGCCCACACTGCTCTTGCTGAGACTGCAGATTCCAGAACCAGGCAGCTCACAACTGACGGTACTTCCAGGGTACTCCACACATGCCTGCGTGCACACACACATAACCACGTGTAGGTATAGGAATACAGGCATTCATGTGGAGATCAGAGAACAATGGTGGGAGGGCCTGGCTCTCTCCTTCCAGTATGTAGATTCCAGGGATGAACTCAGATCCTCAAGCTTGGTGTGACAGGCACATCCTGCTAAACCACCTCACCAGCTCCAAAACATAAAGTAATTTTTGCAATTGCTCAGAGGGGCTCAAGAAGTAGCTCAATAGTTAAAAGAACCCATGTCCACTTACAACCATTAGAGACTCCAGTTCCAGAGGATCCAATGCTCTCTTTCAACCACTGTGGGCACCAAGCATGCATGTGGTACACACACACCATTCATAAATGTAATTTTAAATATTAAAAAGAAAAATTGTAACGCCCAGAAAGTTCCTGAAACTGAAATGAGTACTTAGTCTCTCAAAGTGAGGACCCAGCAGATTGTGAATGAACACCTCCTTCAGCTACTGCAGTCCGGGGACAATGTGGATGCAAGCTCCAGTTTCTACTTAGGTCCTCAACTGTAAAGTCCTAAGTTTCTGTGTTGGGCAGCAACATAATGAAGGAGAGACAATGAGTTGGCAACGAAGGAC